CAACATCCTCCACAACTAGACTGAAGAACAAAAACGACAGCAACTTGTCTGTTCCCCTTCCCCCAATTCCCCAGCACTGTTCCCATCCCCCAATTGCCCAATAAAAAAATCTTAAACAAACAAAAAAAGAAATAGTGACCAACTGCTGTATTTAAAGTCTCTGTCATGTTGCACGTTAAAAAACAAAACAAAAGTAGTATGCTTAATATTTGAGGAAAATAAAAGTTTAGAATTTCAGCAATGAATTAAAATTATGAAAATAAAAACTCAATAGATGGACTGAACAATGGTTTAGACACAGATGAAGAGAGAATTAGTAAACCGGAAAATAAAACATTTGTGAATCAAGGACACTATCCCTGAGAGAGTGAAAAGATAGCCCTCAGAATGGGAGAAAATATTTGCAAATCGTGTACTTGATAAGTGTCTAGAATTCAGAATATATAAAGAACTCCTACAACTTAACAAAAGGGCAAACAATGCAATTTAAAAATAGTCAAAAAACTTAAACAGACGTTTCTCCAAAGAAGATACACGAATGGACAATGAGCACATGAAAAGATGATACTCAACATCATCAGTCATTACAGAAATGCAAATCAAAGCCACAATGAAATACCACTTTATATCCAGTAGGATAAGTAATTAAAAAAAAATAATAATAATAAAAGGACAACAAAGAAGTGTTGGTGTGGATGTGGAGAAATTAGAATCTTCATACATTACTGATGATAATATAAGATGGTATAGAGCAGCGGTTCTCAACCTGTGGGTCGCAACCCCTTTGGGGGTCGAACGACCCTTTCACAGGGGTCGCCTATGACCATCGGAAAACAAAAAGATATTTACATTATGATTCATAACAGTAGCAAAATTACAGTTATAAAGTAGCAACGAAAATAATTTTATGGTTGGGGGTTACCACAACATGAGGAACTGTATTAAGGGGTAGCGGCATTAGGAAGATTGAGAACCGCTGGTATAGAGGCTATATAAAACAATTTAGCAGTTCCTCAAACAGTTAAACACATAATTACCATATAAACCTTCTCCCTTTTCTATATACACATGCCAAAGCAATGAAAACAGGTTTTCAAGCAAAAACCTGAACACGAATGTTCATAGTAGCATTATTCATAACAGCCAAAAAGTGGAAACAATGTCATTAACTGGTGAACGCATAAATAAAATGTGGT